TTTTTGTTCCCCCTAATGATTGTGACATGACTGATTTCCTTCCAACTTAATCGCTGTAATGCTGGAATAATTCCGCTTGGTTCAGTAAAATGCTTAATTTATCTTCATACTTTGCTTCAGGAGCTGCAAGTTGAGAAGCAGAAGACAAACAGGGTGGAATCAATGATGAGGGAGCAACGCGCAGCGATGGAGAAAGAACTGGGCAGTATGCAGGTCAAAGCACAGGGCACCTACCAAGAGCTCCAGACAATGCAAATAAAGGTGAAGCCTTACATTTCAACTATTATCAGTACAGCAAGTACTGGCCTGTATTATACTTGATAACACTTGGGTAACTGCTAGTGTTGTTTAAGAAATGAGGAATTTCAAAAATGTGAAGAAAAAAACTTCTGGCAGCTTCTTTGGCACTCCAGAGAGAGTTGGTGAAGACGGAGTACTGTTAATTGTGTGTAGTTTCAGCAGGTGAGGGAGCAGCTGGAAGGCCAGATCAGTCGATTGCAGCAAGAGAACAGCATCCTGAGGGACGCAGTCAGCTCCGCCACCAACCAGATGGAGAGCAAGTCAGTGTTACACAGCTGTTCACGCTCCCTAGAGTTCCATACATCTCTCATGCTCAGCGTAGTGAAGCATAGTGATTCCAGCTATCTCTCTTAGTCACCTCATTGTCTTTTTACCTTATCTTTCGTTACACAATAGTCTAAGCTATTTGTAGAATGCTTCTGCTGCAATTTCCCATACATATCCCTTAACAAACGCATTTTCATGTCATGTACGTGTGCTTGATAGGAATTCGGCCGAACTAAACAAGTTGCGTTCCGAGTATGCCGGCCTGATGAAAGAGCTATCAGACAGCAACAGCAAGCTGCAGCAGGAGGAGCACCAGAGGAAGTCACTGGAGGTCAGCTACAAGCAGAACGTGTCCCAGCTGGAGGTACGCTAATCCAGATGCGCGGCGTGTTTATTTAGCCTGTGCTTCAGTTTCCCCAGCTGAGACAAAAATGAACCGAGTTGTGCAAAACCTGGTCATGCTTCAAATCTGGTTAACGGGTGTGGCAGCATTACTCGGGAAATGGGAGGAGGTTGTAGTGGAAGTCCCGGTGAGGGTTATGGGAAACAGAACCTGAGCTGGAAGGATTTTTGTTGCCTTTGGAAGCAGGAATGTTTGAGGCTTTGTGCTGTGTATAAACAACACTTTTCTTGCTAGACACTCAGATGAGCCTTTCCCGACTTGTCGCAGATCACGATCATAAAATGGAGATTTAAATTGCTGGCTCAACACAAACAAGTCTTGGCAAAGAGCCTTAGTGCGAGAATTACACTGTGTAGAAAAAAATCAGAAAGAATCTGCACATAAGCCTCTAGATATTCTGATGGATTTCATAAAGTTTTAATTTCCTCTGCAAAATTTATACGATCGCTCAATTCCAATGAAAATGTATGGAAGGAAGGTGTTCAGAGTTTGTATCTGTCTCCAGGCACAGCTGCAGGATGCTAAGCGCCGCTGGGAGGAGCTGCAAAACTTTATCCACAGTGTCAATGCCGAAAGAGAGAAAATTCAGACCTCCAAACAAGGTGATAAAACATAACATTGCACCAAACAAAAGTTTTAATTCTTGTGAACCCTAAAAAAAAATGATGGTGCCTCAGTGACGGCTGTCGTGTGGTTGCAGAGCTCCACAATCAGCTGCTGGCAGTTGAGGCTGAGATGAGCAACAAGAACAAGGAGATCCAGACTCTACACAGCAGCCTGACTGAAGCTGTGGTCTCCAAGGACCGGCTGGAACAGAAAGTGAGGGAGCTGATGGAAATGTCCAAGCACAGTATGCAGGACGACTCGCTCCAGGCCCGAGTTCAGGTGTGCTCACAACTCGCAGTGCCAAACCTGCAGCAAGAAAAATGAAACTGTTATTGTAGTTACATGGAATGATACCAAAATGGATGTGAATGATCTTATAGTCCTCAACCTAATGCTCACTAATGACTTGTGTTTAACAGGAACTTATGAATGAGAACAAAAGTCTTCAGGTCCAGATCTCTACGCAGGTAAATGGGTCAACTTCACACACTTATCATTTAAAGTCAATATGGGATGAGTACCTAGATGGCTCTGTGTGTGTGTGAGAGAGAGAATGTAGGCTAATGACATTTCTGTTTGATATCTAGGCCACTCATGTCTCCCACATTGAGGAGCTGCAAAAGCTGTAAGAAAGATTTCATCTTCTCAGATATTGTGGATCACATTCCAGGCTGTATCACTGAGCTATATTTCATCTTTCCCTGTGTTGTTGTTGTTTTCCTTTTTTGCCTAGTTTGGCTGAAAAAGAGCTGCAGCGAAAAAGTCTGGAGGATTCTCTAAATGCTGAGAGGAGCAGTGGGGCTAGTAGAGAAACTAACATGCAGGTATTTTCAGAAGAGCACTTCACTACAGCTTCTCTTACTAACATTGTACCGGTTCATTAGTTTGCAGGAATGTGTTGCTGTGGAAATGTAGTGGAACTACATAGTGGAAATGTACTTTGAAGTCCTCTTCCCCACGGGAAGAGGGCATGCTCAGATTTGCAGATATTTTGGGTTCAGATGACAAATTGATTTAATGCACTTCCTGGTATTGTAAACCTAAGACAGAATTAGGAATTCTTTATAATTTCCAAGTGATTGCACAGTATGTCAGATCCTCCACCGTCTTGGCATAATAAGTGTCGTCTGTATTCATCTGCAGGCCTTGCACAATGAGAACATGTCACTGAAGGCAGAGATTCAGAATCTGCAGGCACAGATTTCTGATCAGGTTAGTTGTGTTGCTTTGCTTTACTGTTTAAGAAAAAAAATCCACTATATGTTGGTGTGGGTTTTTTGTTTGTTTGTTTGAGAGGTTGTTTTTCATTTAAAACAATCTACTTTTGGATGTCCTCTTGCAGACTGCATCCCAGCTGGCTTTGGACCAGTTCCAGAAGAGGTGGGTATGAGAACTGGAGCACATTTTAAATACATCAGTGTCTTAATCTGTCTATGAAATAAATGATCCAAAATTCTTTGAACAGTGTCCGGGAGAAGGAGGAAAACATGAAAACTGTAGAGGGCCTGTTGGAGAAAGGGTTGATTGAGGTGGCCAACAAAGAGGAGGAGCTTAAGGTATCTGTTTTCTCTAAAAGACACAATCAAAACATGCTGGCTCATATAAACACATTTATCTGACCACAGCTTCCCCTAAGTGACTCTGCATAATACTGTTGGCCTGCTAACCACAATCTTTAATTGATATGAAGTCTTAAAGTCATTTGTTTCCCCTAATATAGACTGCAAGGAAAGAGAATGAGTCACTTCAACAAGAAATTGAGGACCTTAAGAAAAAGATGGATAAACAGGTGGGTTCTAAAATGATTATTAAGAAGTATTTCCTGAATTTTTGATTCCTATTCTGTATATATATTTTTTCCTTTTTTCTTCCCTCTAACTAAAGGTGTCTTCAGAGCTGATGGTGGAAGAACTCCAGAGCAAGTAAGATCAATAAAGTTTATTTTGATTATTTAGTACAAAGGTTTAGTTCCAACCATATCCTATTCATGAAAACAAAGGCTACTACTGACTCTGTAAGCATATAAAAAAACGAATTCCCCCTGGCAGTCCAGGACACTCCTAAGACACACCCCTCATAGTAGCTCTTTCAACATCCATTCCCATTGGAACAAGAGGCTGTCTATTGTTGAATGTCCTCTCATTGTTGATATTGTGAAGATAAGCAGATTTCACAGGCTTTACAATATAATGACCCTTATTTTATTGTGCTTCAAAGGATCCAAGAAAAGGAAACAAAGCTGAAAATGGTGGAGGAAAGTCTACAGGCAGCACAAGACAGCAGCTCGGCCAGAGAGAAGACAGTTGAGGTGCAGCCCTTTCCTTGTATCAGTATAAACAGTTTGGCAGATTTCAAAAGACCCTTTCTTCACATTGTTCTTCAGTGTTGTCCTTGTTTGGGCTCTTGTCTGAATCAGTTTTTGTCTCACAGGCTCTGGAGCAGCAGTTGGCTGCCTTGCAGGCAGAGATGGAGCAGCTGAGACAGAAGGAGACAGCAGAAGCGCTGACCAGCTCTGCTACTCAGCTCCAAGAACTCCAGGCTCAGTGAGTTAAATCAGCACCTCAGTGTAAGCTCCCTACGCACACGCCTTTCAAATCCGACTTTTGATGACCAACATTTGACCAACAGGCTGCTGGGAAAGGACCAGAAGATCCAGACACTACAGAGTGAGCTGGAGGCAAGGACGAAGGAGCTAAGCGAGAAGATTCAGCAGGTACAGCAACAGTGCTCATGTTACACATTTTCTGGCTAAAATCATCCAGATGTCATTTGAGGAGGGGGGGCTCTCTTTACTATGTTAAAGGTTGTCGTCATGCTATAGCTTCTTTATTTGGCTGTTCCTATTTTAGTGTCATGAGATATTCAGTGCTGGTTTTCATTGTCTGTTTCTCTCCCGCTCATATAGCAGTCCCACACGGTAGTGCCAAGCCCTGAGCTCCTTACAGCGTGAGTAGTATTGCATGGCATATCAAAACAATACCAACGCTGTTTTATTTTTTAGGCCTGTTTACTGTATTGTACCGGAAGTGTGATCAGTTTTGTAATGTGTGGTTCTGCTGTTTTCTGTCAGGTTGTCAGAGAAGGAGAAACAGGTCTCCATTCTGCAGGCTGAGCTGGCTGAGCTGAGGAACACCGTAAACCTTCAAAGGAAGAAGAATGATGTAGGTTTCACATAGCAATGACCTGAACTGTGGAATGGCACAGGTCAAACCCTATGAGCAATCAGCCCTGCCCATTGTGTTTCACAAAGCACTCCCCCCACAGTGTTGCACACTGCATATATTCATTCTGCCTATTGTTGTCTGCCACTCGCTTTTTGTTCATTTTAAATAGTGCTTTTTTTCCTTGTTTTGTTTGTTTTAAACCAAATACACATTTTTCTTCAGCTCAGGTTGTGTATGTAACACGATTACACACACATCAGTTCAGTGTCTGTTTTGGATTGCTTAAGCTGAGCATTGCATAAGAGGGCTTCCAGCCTACTCTTGTTGTGCTCGCCGCTGGCCATGACTGTTTCAGCAAGCCTGTTTGTGCTTGTGGGTGATTCAGAGCATTAGAAACTCGTCTCTCTTATTTTTGAGAGAGGTTTATTTAATCTGAGAAGCATATAAACATATTTGTATTATTATATGCACACTATAGTTGAAGACACTTATTTTAATTAGAAATAAAATGACTTAACGAATATTTTTTTACTAAATATACCTGTGCAGGCTGTGCATGTTGTTTTAAACCACACATGGTATCAGAGTAGGACTATCAAGACTTTTTGTTTTTTACATATTTTTAGCTAGTGGAGCATGGATGAGAAATGCCTTTGGTTCGTTTTGTTACTCTACCAGTCTTTATTTGAGGGTCACTGAATGCATTCCCCCCCCCGAGGCTGAACTGAAAGTAGTATCTCTCTGGAACTGACCAAAACAGGAGCTTCGGGAGAAAAACTGGAGTGCAATGGAAGCTCTGTCAGCCACCGAGTCCATGCTTCAAGGGAAACTCAGCAAAGCTGTCAAGGTTCGACACCTCACCTCAGTCTGCTTCACTCTAGTTCCAATCTGATGCATCCCCCTCCGAAACGCTGTGTTTTGCCATAATCGACCCAGTGAAATTTCTTTTCTGCCATCATCCATAACAACGCTGCATACTCATTTACCTTCACTCCTCCCGCTCTGTTGTTTGGCCTCAACTTTTCAATTGGCTGTTTTTGAGCTGTTGAACTACAGTAATCTGCTCCCCCTCGGGCATCTCCGACTTTATTTAACAAATATTGGCCTCCTAAGCGTGTATACATAACTTTCCTTTACGCTTTTAAGTGTAAGAGGTTTATTTTTTCCTTTCCTTACCCAAAGCTTAGGTCGATGCTTGGAAATGAGTGTGCAGTGACTTAGAAATTCACTAGATGTCATTAGATTGAGATTCATTGTAATCATTTGCAGCTTCCTGTCGTCTCTCTGTCATGTGGCATGCTTTGTGACATTGTACTGTTAAGATCACCAGTTAATCAAAGAAAATCTGTTTAATTCAAATCTAATCCTTTTCCCCCTTTTTGTTTAAGAGAAGTGTTAACATTCAAAGCTTGTAATGAATATGCAGCAGTCCTCTAATGTTTCTCAATGCTCTGTTCTCACAACTGAAACATCTTTGTTCTCCATCAGGGTGAACAAAGTGCAACTAAATCTAAGCTACAATCAGCTGTTCTTTTCATGCATTTCTACTTCATGTAGAGTTTGCTCCCAGATAGCTGTGCTATTAAGAGTTACAGTAACGTTTATTTCAGTCATCCTCCTACATTAGGTGAGGGTACATACCGAACTATCTGCACAGCAGCTGCTCTCCTGCCATTTGAGTACAGTAGAAAGCACCTTCTCGCGCCTGAGCCAGGGAGTTCCTTGGCAGCTGTTGTGTGCTATCGGTGCATGCTGGTTGGTTGTATTCAGCTCCACGCTCTGTGTCAAAGCTGTCTTGTGACAGCGTGTTAATGCAAACAGTGGTTAGACAGCCAGCTGGCTCGTGTATGGCATGCGTTCCCCCTTTCAGACCTCAGAGTTGATGGTGTGTTATTAGAGGACTGATCAGTACTTTTTGTTTATTGGTGAGTGTCAAGGTAAATTTGTGAACACAAATGAGAGATGCTCTGAATCTGATGTGAGGTCTGTTGATGCTTATGGTTTCCCAGAGTAAATGGAACTGGGAGTGATTTTTTTTGTTTGTTTTTTTGTCCTTTGATAACGAGCTGGCATTATAAAATTTGTGGGATTTTGATTGAAGCAGCCTGATCACTGGTTTGAAACAGATTGATGGGGGTTAAGAGAAAGTTGGTGGTTATATGCTTGGATGACCACTGGACCTTTTCAACGAAAATATCTTAAGTATTTAAACAGTCATTTGTTAATCTCCTCTTCTCTTTTTGTTCCTTTACAATTTGCTCCCTACCTTCTAGGAGAACCAGACAGCGCTGGCTGTATGTCAGGCTGAGTGCCGAGATGTTCTGCACAGACTTCTGCCACATGTGCCTCTGCCTTCTGAACAGGTATGAGAGGAAACATTTACCTCTATGCTAAATGCATTTGTACGTCACTACAGCTACATGTTGTGTGGTTGGTGTTTACTTCATTTTTTCATCTTAATTGTCCTGTAGAACCATCAAGAATGGCTCCAAAGATTTGAAAGGGCAGCAGGTGAAAACTCCGCTCCACAATCCAGCCCTGGATCAGGAGACTCGGAGGTAAATTTGGAAAAAATGCAAAGTTGAACATCATTCCTTTTTCAAATGAGTCCATCAGTAAGTACGATCCACTTTCTAGGAACTGGCTGAGAAACTGAAAGAAGCTGAGGAAACTCAAAGGGTTCTACAGAAAGACTGTGAGACGTACAAGAAAGTTTTGGCAGAGACAGTAAGGGTTATTTTTATTTTGCTTTTGGGTTTGTTTGTTTGGGGGGGTTCTATTTTTTATTTTTATTTTTTTTAGGGGGGTGAGGGAGTTGCCATCAGTTGCCATTATGGCAGCACACTGATCTCCCTTCCAAATGGAGCTGTCATTTCTGTTGTGTCCACAGGAGGGCATCCTGCAGCGCCTCCAGAACAGTGTGGAGCAGGAGGAGTCTCGCTGGAGGGTGAAGCTGGAGCTATCGCAAGCAGAACAAAGAGAGGTATGGATTCAGGTTTAGCAAGAGATAAAACTCCAAAATGCAGAGTCACTGAAGTGAAATATTGAGAGTTCTCTCTCACTGGATCGTTCTTCTTTCTTTGATCTCAGATGAGCCAGAAAGTCGCAGCTTTGGAGCAAGAGGTTGAGAGACTAACTGATGAAGCAGAGTTGGAAAATGTCAGTAAACCAAACACACAAAAAGTCTACAATGTACACTCGCAAATGTCCTGTTAGAGCGGCTGTCATTTGTATCTCTGCTCATCTGTTGTGCTCTGTAGCTGAGAAGAGAAAAACAGCACTTGGAGTCTGAGTTGGAGAGGGCGGAGCGCGAGAGTGCCACTTATGTGACAGAAGTCAGAGAGGTGAGCAGAAACTGGACTCCTTCAGTCATGTTTAACCTCTTGAGGTGAACGTGCGACCTCTGTAACAGTTGAGCTGTTTTCACACATGCACCTTTACCCTGAACATTTGCAGAGAGCACCCAACAGAGGTTGCGTTGAGACTGCAAATGTTATATGCAGTCCGATTGGACATTAGACTACAGAGATGGCAGTTTAAGTCTTTGTAATGTCGGATCGCACTGATGTGTGATTAGCACAGGTAACATCCTGGTGCATTCACCACTAGCTAGTGAATGTCATGTGCAAGGCTCTACCCACACAGCCCCCTCACTTTAAAAAGACTTAAGTATTTCCATGAGTGCAAATGTGTCCAATTTAGGCTATTTCAGCATTTTCTGCTCTGTGCTACATCTGAGAAACGGATAACTGTGAGAAATATCCCAAATTAAGTCTTGAAATTGTTCAAAGTTCATGTGTGAAAACTGCTCCATGTGTGGTGTTTTGTGGCATCCCAGTTTGTTTATTCTGGGAATATAAAGTTCACACAGCACAGGTTTTTGTTTTGTGTGAATTTAATCACTTATGAATCTGGTTATCTGCAGTCATGCACAACTGGTTCCCTCTGCTTCATTTGTGACTTTTTTTTGGTTGTGGATGCCTTATGACTGCATAAACTGTGTGCTGGTAGTGCTGACCTGGTTCACCTATGACAGACCCACATTAAACAAAACCCTGTCAAACTCAATTTCAGCTCAAAGATCTGTTGACTGAATTGCAGACCAGACTTGATGGCTCATATACAGAGGCTATCAGACAGAATGAGGAGCTGACTTTGGTAAGCGTTGCTCACCCTCTAGCTAGAGCTCCTTTAAATCTTAGCCTTTATTGCACTCAGCAGTGGCGCGACACTGACTGCAACAGAACGGGGTTCTCTATCTACTGCAAAACTGTGGGTCATCATTCACAAACTCTGTAGATTTGGACTTGTATGGTGGAGTCATGAATAAGAGGGGGGGGGGGATTTCCAGCTTCTGAGTGATGACTCACCTTTACTTTGAGTTATAATACTAACTCTTCTTTTTCTGCACCTGCACTCTACTTGTGTCTAACAAATGGCTTGCTAATTAAAAATCTTCTTTCTCTGCCAGGCCAAAAGTATGCCTCCTCTTTGTCTATCACTTATAATTTAACTTCTCTGATGCCTTCAGGCAAGCCTTGCGTCTGTTTTGTCTGATAGTCACTGAATGTCTTCGGTGGTCATGAATCTTTAGTAGTTTTAAGCAATATTTTGGCTGTGTTCACTTCAACAATAGCACTATAAGAATGACGATCACGTTGCTATGTGGTTCATACCAATTGGTGTGCATTCCTTCTGTTCTTGTGTTAAGTGATTGACATAATGACTGGATTTATCTTGCAGTTGTGGAAAAACTGAGACAGAAATGTACAAAGTCTAGAAAGTTATCAGTGATACAGTCATTTCTTCTGAAGTACACACGAAGTATTGCGATGTCTGATAAAATTTAGGGAATTACTTTATTACTTAAACAGGACTTCCTGGATTATGATTCATCCTCTCAGCTTGTACCGAAAAGCCCACATGAGCTTAGTGCTATTTTTGGTTTGAACATTGTCTAAGCAGGCCCATGGAAAAAATGAAATCTGTGCAAATGTTGAACTGTTTAATGTAGTTATGTTGGCAGGAGGATTTGTATATGTTCTGAAAAACTAGAAGCGGGACTCAAAGGCCAGGTCAACAGTGCAAAATATCTAAATGTCTGGTTTCTTTCCAGCTGAAAACCCAGCTCACTGAGACGCTGTCGAAGCTGGAGGCAGAAGAAAACGAGAGGCAAAAAGTGGCCGGTGACCTGTATAAGGTAACGGGAATGATCTGGATTTCATTACACTTCTGATAAAGGTCAAACTGCCGACCACAATGCTAACAAGCGGAAATTGCTGTCCCTTCATGCAGGCCCAACAGTCTGTTGATCTGATCCAAGGGGAGCTCTCAAAAGTGACAGACAATGCTGATGACTTGATCGAGAACAGCAGTCTGTCATCACAAAGAGTAAGGGCAGTTTGAGTGTTGTAACACTGTTGTGACACCAAATGTTTATGTAGTGACATCTAATCCTTTTAATGTCATGTTAAGACCAAAAAATTGTGTTTGTGACAGGAGGAGATTGACAGAAACGAGAAAATGACTGCGGGATTGGGTCAGACAGTCACCGAACTGCAGCAGCTGCTACAAACTGTCAGCCGGCAACTCACTAAGAGACAGGAGGGGGTGAGGCCTTTTGATCGTGCTCTTTGTTATTCACAATTGGGTATCATACTCCTGTCTTTCAGCTTACCAATGAAGATTAAACTTTGCAATTGAATGTTTGTACTTTCCCTCAGGAGGCTGGTAAAGATCTGCCCAAGGTATAGTGAGACCCCCACGCAGCCACCCTGACTGTATTACAGAGACCACCTTTGACTTTCGGTCTCATCCTGACCACATCACAGCATACTGTCACACCCAGCCACTTCCTCCGTTTCAACCTCTATCACTGCACTTGTACTGTAGGCAGCCTCAAACTGACTCTGGCCAAAACGCTGGCAAACCACTCCCAGACTCACTGCTGGCCACAGAGGAGCAGGCAGAGGTTACAGTTAACTCCAGGCACTATACCAAAATACACACTATTCCACTCCCACCACATTCCTCTTCTTTTAGCAACAATGCCAGTTAATTTTTATTCTAAACTTAATGACATCCAGCATAATTTAAACTATGTGGAAACCATTCCTCTGTTTTAAATTGCTTGTATTTTTCACTGAAATCCTTTTGAGTACTGCAGTAGTTTTGTTGTTATTTGTGTTAAGAGAGAGCAGTGATACGAATTTCCAACTCGACTAAACAAACTTTGGTTTTTCAGTCCTTTTCTTCTTAACTTAAAGATATGTAGTGTTTAAATGTATCAGTTAGGACCTGCTGAAATACACTATGTTGTTGATCTGTTTTCCTCCTGAGCAGAAAACTATCCAACTGTGCATCCATTATGCATTTATTCATTCATAGCTCCATGTTATACCTTGGCTCAGTACTGGGTGGGAGAAGGGAGATCAGAAGAGGTCTCAGCATATCTGAAGGGTCACTACGTGACGGTAACTATGGAGATGCATGGACAAATTGTACTCAAGTCTGTACTGTAGCTCCAAACAGAAGGGAGTGTGTGTGACCCTGGCTGTGTACGGCCAGGTCAACAGTGTAGGGGTTTTTAATCCTACTGCAACTACTCTAGGAATAAGCGTCCCATATCATCTGTAATCAGCACTCGCTATATTGTTGCTAAGATCATTAACACTGAAGATTTTGTTCTTTTTGTAACGGGTGATGTTAATAAAAGGGATGCTTGATAAATCTGTTCAGCCTCCTGTGCTGCTTCCCCCCCCCCCCCTCTACCAATGCACTTCCCTCTTCTCGCCACAGTGGGGCAGCATATAACCTAAGTTGGAACTTGAATTGATTTTGTTTATAGCCTTAACAATCCTGAACATGGGGAAAGGAAAAGTCAAAGCTTCTGTTAATGGTGCGATTGCTAGCAGGTAAATTCAGCATGACAATGCAGAATAAACATGTCCATCATGCAGAGGCATTATTCCGGGTAAGTGTTTTTGTATAATAGTAAAAAAGCTTGATATTGCGTGCCCTCAATAATGGAACATTTGGGGTGTGACCAGGTTCCTGTGATAGTAACATGCTGTATAATCCCTCACTATGGGACACTTTTTCTGCTTTGTGTGAGGCTTACAAATTCTATCAGCGGTACAACTCTTATGAAAGAACTAGTAGCTAAAATCTAGAACCTACCAAGGATGACACCTGTAATGCTGGAAAGTACCACTCTACTGTGATCATTTGAAAGTGAAATTTTACTATTCTACTTGAGCCCTTATAAAGGCACAAAGGCCTGGGTGTATTCTTTCTAAATTTTCCATATTTTCTTTGCCACCTCCGGCTTTTTATTTTTGACAAAAGGATAAATCTGCATGCGACTAGACATGACTTGACTGTGACTTCTCTTCGCAGAAAGCTCTTGCTCTCATCTTTTGCATGTTAAAAGGCCTTTAAAACAACAGGACTGTTGTGCTGCCTGGAGGAGGGGTGCGGGTCAGATCAGGAACACAGGCAACATGGAATCAGCACATTCCTCACATTCTCCCACACTGTCATGCTCCAGTCAGCTGACTGGAGGTCTAGCTGTTGCCTTCATGGAAACCTCGCGAACAAATATGCTTCACATCATCTTTGATATGCTTGTTAAACTGGATCGCGCAGGAAGCACCTTTCACAGCCTGTTGTTGCAGACTGCTTAACCATGTGTGCACAACTGACTGCAAAGTGGGTATTTCCTACTATACAGTCATTTGCTTACACGCCTAAAAATGTACACGTTTGATAGTATATCTAAAATGAGGGATATTTTCTACAGTTCCGCCATTGTAATCAATATGATGTCCTTTGTGTGGAAATTGCAGAGATTTTAAAATGTCATAAATCCGAGGTTTCACTTTGTCAGACACATGCTCATTGTTTCACTTCTTGCATAGAGATGCTATCACGTAAAGCCTGCCAAAGAGCAGTGAGGAAGTTGACAGGGGCCTTGTGTTTCCTTTGCTAACACTCATACCCTCAATTGTGCAATTTAGTTTGTTGCAGTACGCCTCTGCTCTGCATGCTTCTTGCTTGCTAACGCTTGACTCCTCCCCCTAAACACAGATTTACACTCATACTACACCAGCACAGCTCCAGAAAAGCAGCCCACTCCCTGCATCTGCTCCCTATCAGTGTGGTATGTGGTAGAAAGCCTTTGATCCCCCCCCTGAAAAAAAAAAATCTGTGTGTATGTATTTCTGTGGGTATGCATGTGGGAACGTGAATCAGACAGACACAGAAACGACCATAGAGCTTTATTACAAAGACAATGGTGGATGAAAGCAAAGAGAAAGGAGACAGTGACACAAAAAAGGAGTAAACATTCATTATACCCACAGCATTAAGATCAGTCCCTGGCCCTTGTAGTTCCAGGCCAAATGCAGCTTGATCCCTATGCACAAATGCCGAAGAAGCTGATGTTAATCCGTGCTATCAGTGGCACCATTAAAGGGATTCAACAAATGCCAACTATTTGACTTGTAATGCTTACAAATGCACAATACTCTGACTTATTGTGGTGAAGTTTATCAGAATCAGAATACTTTATTCATCCCGAGGGAATGAATAAAGTTGTTGTTCGTGAGGGTGGGGAGGCTTTTTCCCCCCTTCCGGCTCCTGTATTCCCTGACTACCTTTTGTTTTCTGTAGGTGTTATTGCACTTTGAAACTGGACACCAGTTCAAATAGAAGGCCATTACTGCAGAGGCAACAGGGCTGAAGCAGTAATAGCACCTCCAGCCATGCAGATTCCTGTTAAACAAGACAGAGCCATTAAAGCGTGGAGGAGACTGCTAGACAAAAGTGGCACTTTCACCAGAAAAGCATGAGGGGGGGGGGAAAGTGAATGTGTGATGTACTAAAAGAGGTGTTACTAGAGGCTGAGAGGTTCTTAGTAGCGTCACGTGTGGACATTTGGATAAATTAGATTTCTGAGTCAGTCTCAGAAAAGCAATTAGCCAAATTACTAGGCCTTGGTGTTATTATTTGACTAATGCGCATCAGCCAGTTGACTGACATTACAGAATGAAATAAGCATGCACTCACGGACCGGAAGCCAACAAAAGGCTTCATGCTGAAAACAGAGACAAAAATGAGCAATGGTGTGGTGAAAATAAAACCTCGAGGCATGCACATCCGTAGTGATGTCATTAAGTTGCACAATCAATCACATGCATTAGCCAGCTGCAATAAAGTCATAATCAAATAACACAAGAGCCTAAGGGGTTACCAGCAAAATTACAAAATCCGATTTCACAAATTTTTTTTTCCCACACACTCGCTGAAAATGTACCAGGAGGATTTTGAATAGTTTTTTTTTTTTTTTTTTAAAAACCATGTCTTTTCCCACTTTTGATATCCCGTCCTCGGTAGGCATAACTACTGCACTCATAAATCATGTGATCCTTGGCACATTTTGCTGAAACAGTAAATAATAGAAATGTAAATACAATGACAAAACGTTTAAACCTTTATTTCCGTCAAATATAGGAAACTGCAATCACGTCAGGAAAAAGTATGATCCCTTTAAGAATTCCCAGATTTTACTCTTTGTTTACATAACAGAAGGTGCGATCCATAAACCAAGACGGGTGGTTTCAAAAATGATTATTACAAGGTAGATTCAACTGCTTTGTCTACACGAGAATTAAATAAAGATGAATCATTCTCATGTATTATTATCTATGTGTTTAATGAATAGATACAATAAAATTTGACCAGGCATACCATTTTAACCAAGGCGTAGGTAGAGAGCCCCCCCCTATACAAAGTAAAGTAGAAGTGAATGGTACGTTCCGGCCCTGGTCCTCGCTGTTTTTGTATCTGCTTTAGAGCGCATTCAACCGCCAAGTAAGTTACGTTTTGCTATGTCACGCCGAAGAAGTTTCAGACCAGTTTATTTTTAGCAAACTTGATTCGTGAGAACACTGAAACACATGCTGCCGTGTAAGCGATCTGAAGCGAGTCTGTGTCGCGCTTTTTAAGGAGGAATTTTAGGTAATTTTTGAACCGTTATTACTGTAAAGCTAACCGTGAAGTGAAGCCAGGAGCCTCATGTTTTCGTTAAGCCAAGAGGAGCACTGCGCCCCATCCATAGACCTAGTGAAATACGGAGAGCTGGTGGTTCTGGGGTAAGTTGAATCGTTGTTGTATTTGCTTCTGAGTAAGTGTGGACATGAAACTGAAAACGAGTGTTTGTTTTTAAGTTTCACAAACGGCCACTCACACTGCTACCTAAGCTACATGACTGTAAGTTTTTGAAAATAGCATGGAGTTAGCAGTGATGCGTTGTGTATTTTTGTTTTTTAAATTCAAGATCAACTTCCAACACAGGCGACATTATATAACATCAAAGAGGCGCTGTGATGATTTTCAGGGAGCACGTCAAGCTCTGTTTAGAAATTTACAAGCTCACGTTATCCCACAAATCAGACACGTGCGCAATTACAAATGTGGACGTTTTAAATATCCCATTCCCTGGCAACCCTGATAACTACAAACTGCCTGCATGTGTCTACATATCTGTGTCCGTGAAATAGGACAGATTTGGGACAACTTTGGGAACCCCAGTGAAATTTATTCAGCAACTCTGACCGGACGCTCCTTCTTACCTTAAAGTTGGATTCATGGGGTTTTAGGAATTCGGAAGTAGTGATGGTCCCCTCCCCCAGCCCCAGAGTGCTTCCTTTAACACAACTTCTGCAGTCACGCACGCACGTACTGTTCTCAGAGTTTAAAATCACACTCCTTGACCTGCAAAAAGTTACCTTATATTCCTTATTTAACAGACAAGGGGAGCTTAAATGTCGGATAACAGCGAGAGCCTTATGAAGTACTCTGTAATGATATATGTAATTCGATAAAATGATATTGGGATATGCTACCTGATGTGGGGAACATTCAAATGTTATTTATACAGTAAAACATTATTTCTGTTCATAGAGAAAATCAGCCAAAGTATGTGCTGAATTATACTGTATAGTAAGTAGTAAGGAGTCGGTTACTGATTTCCATACCTTATACAGTATCTGCCATTACCCACAATGCTCCAGTGCAAGTCAGAGAAACAAGGGAAAGCAGTGGACAAGTTTATCTAATCTCACAGGATATATTCTTAAATTGCTTTATACTAGCAGAGTCTAAGCTGCCTATGGGAACAGCATCAAAGGCTGCTCAGTCAAGCTACCTTTCTGCTGTTTTTTCCCATCTTTGTATTTGTTTATATCTCAGTATGGAGTAATTTTTGTTGGGCAGGCACAGAACCACCATGTTTTCACAGAGTGTTGAAAACAAGCCGAGCTGTAGTTCTTTAGTTATTTATTTATGTGTTTTTTATTATTCATCTGCTTTAAATCATCTTATGTGGCTTCTTAAAAGCCTTACTGGCATCTTTACATTTCTTGCCCAACCAGTAGATGATCAGTAATCAGTTCCTTATTGTCAAGCCTCCATACTTATTTGCCTTTAAGTTTATCGCTTACTTATTTCAAGGTATTTACAAGGCTCTTCTGACAGTTTCACATTGCAGAACAATTACGTCAAACCTGCAGCAGTGGAAATTTTGCCTTGGTGTCAAGAACCTGTGTAGACGTGCATTTTTTTTCTATATAGTAAACTGGTCAGGAGTCTCTACAGAAACTGATAAGAGCCTCACCATTAACTGTATTGTTGTCAATAAAATATCAGTAATTTACCCAATGAAAAAAAAAA